CGATCGTGTTTATGTGAAACAGCCAGTAACGGCTGTTTACATTGGACGGGTTTTGTCTGCCCTTGCGCACGCGCAGAAAAAAAATGCCGTCTAGTAACGGCAACCCGCCAATGTGAGTCCGCCGTCCGTCCGTTTTTTTGCAACGGCCGGACGGCAAGTGGTTAAGGATTCCCTAAGTTTAGATGCACAGGCTACCTACCAGCCAATCTTGAGCTAGTCGGGAAAGCAATTCTGGGTGAATATTATCACTTGGAGAGAAAATTATTCATTATCCAAAATGTTACGGTTGTCACCTGGACAAAAGGGGGTTTTAGGCATTCTCTATTGGATCCAAAACCATTGTGGCTATATAACTTTAACCCCTATGATGCCCATTATTACTAAGCTATTTTCAAATTGGTTGTATCCCTTGCAAAAATCTGTCCATACATGGGGGCCTTAAATTGGATTTGAACTCAAAAAGGGACAATGTTATATTTATAGAAAACATCTAGAAATATCAATTGTGCCAAAGCAGTACTCTGAAAAAGGTACCTATTGTCATGAATTCCACCTGAGAAGCAGCAGACATCCTGACATGTGACTGCCTAGTCATTCTGGTTCTGTAACATATTAACTGTGTATATGCAATGTGAGATCATCTAAGGCAGTGCTCCCCAACCTTTTTATCGCCACGGACCGGTCAACGTTTGATAATTTTACCGTGGCCCGCTGAGGGGGGGACGTTGATTGTTTATATTTTAGATTGGAATCACCTGTCCCGATAAATCCATATTTCAAGTAGGACTCATGGTATTGTCTGTTAAAAGTTACATGTTTCTTTTATGTTGAAGGCCCTTCTTTTGTCTCTTCACTGGGCCTTTTCTTTTTCCCAAGGAAACTTTCTAACGACGTCTGTTTTTGCTAATTTGTGGGTTAAATTTGAGCAAACACAATATACACATACACCAAGCACTGTTAAACATGAGAAAGTACCGGTGAACAGAGAGAAGAGTGATACACACCTTCTCTTTACCAAAGCTACAACGCCACTGCCGCTTGCAGCCGCTCAGCTCCAGACGTCACCTAAAACCGCCCGACATCACGATATTTCGCGCATGCGCAGTATTGGTGCGGCTTTAGGTGACGTCTCTCAGCTCCCGGTTAACCTCTCGTCCTGGAAAGTCGGACAAACCCGAGAGAAATACACCACAGTAAATAAAATGGAAATAATTTAATGTTCCTTGGGCGGCCCGGTACCATTTGATCCACGGACCGGTACCGGTCCGCGGGTCCGGGGGTTGGGGACCACTGATCTAAGGCACCGCTGCCTCGCACAAGATTTGGAGTGAGATTTATGCCACTATTGTGTGGTTCACTGTTCTCCTTGCTGGACAGGAAGCTGTACACGAGGACCAGCAGTGAAAGAATCTCCCTGCACCTGCTTTGTTTATTCAGTAGATCTGTGCTTTCTCAACCTTTCTTACTGCTTCTTGAGTATTCCCCCACCAGTCATCAGAGGGGCCATTCTGACATGGGGAGCCAAAACACTGCTCCTTTACCAAGATGGCCACCTCCACATGTAGGCACAGTGCAGAACAAGGCATCATAAGTGAATAATGGGGAAAAGATCAGCTACAGGGAGACCACAGTCAAAACTGGTGAAGAGTTATTTTTGTCTGCCCAGCATTCAGGGATTGAGCCCTCTTTATTATAGATGCGTAAGCCATTTTTCTGACTTATTCGGTGTGCCTGAACTGGAATCTCCAATCAGCTTGTTACAAATATTTTACTTTTCCCATTTATATTTTACTATTCTCGTTCAGAAAATGAGAGCATCAGTATAAATAGCAGACTTAGTAATGTATATTTAATTGATTCAGCACATCAAGTACCACTAATACATATTCAGATGGCATTTCTTCTTCCAGGAGCAAAAGCTCAGCTCAGTTTCTGATGGTTAATCTCCCAGTTTGAAGAATAAATCCCAGGCCATTATAAAACTTTCAGCGTCTATAAATTAAAGAACTGAGTTGAAAGTTTATGATTTATGATTCATGTGAGTTCATTAGATTGACCTATACAGTGCCTGAATCACTGCTAGTGGTATAGCTGAATAAAGGCATCCTCTGACCTTATGGGAAGAAAATGTGCCTCAGGAATTATTTTGATCAGAGTGCATATAATTCTATATTTGTCTGTGGGAGCTTTGTGCTAATATGGGAGGACAGAGTAGAACACTGTACTTGCCACAAGTAACAGTGTGCAAAGTTACAATATAACTGTGTGTGTGTTGATTGGAAAGTGGAAAGACAGGAAGCACATGATGCAGAAAATGTGAAATACGTAGGCTAACATTGCTGACTCCACTGGCGGAACTACCAGGGTCGCAGCGTCTCCTGACACCCTCCGCGCCCCTCCTGACACCCACTGCACCCCTCCTAAGACCTTCCGCACCCCTCCTGGGACATTCCGCACCCCTCATGACACCCTCTGTACCCCTCCTGAGGCCCTCCGGACCCCTCCCGGGGCATTCCGCACCCCTCCCGGTGCATTCCGCACCCCTCCTGAGGCCCTTCGCACCCCTCCCGGGGCATTCTGCACCCCTCCCGGGACATTCCGCACATTATATATTGGGGGGAAAAAAGGTATCAAAATCATGTTTTTTTCCGGGGGGGGCCCTTTATGGTTTTCTTGCACCGGGGCCCTGAGGGTTCTAGTTACGCCTCTGGCTGACTCCAACTTCTGAAAACGCTAATTGCCTGGCTGTCACACTGATCAAGTGGTTTGAATACTTTCTCAGTCACTGATTTAGAACAAGTATGCAGATAAGGAGTTCTGATATCACATTGACTTCACTTACTACATGCTTGTTCCATTTGTGTGATTTAGGCTGAAAATAGAGGTGGCTAGCATGTTTTAGCCTACAATTTACTCTCAGTACAGCAGTGATGTGCAGTGGAGTCCATTCTTGCATTCTTGGTGAGGCATTTCCCCTGCCCGCCCCCAACCTTCCCTGTCCCTCACTTGCTCGTCACCGTTGAGGCATCGAGATCAATGTCCTCACTGTTTTTTGTTTTTTTTGATTGGACAGCATGGACCAATGGCGCTTTAACAATGGTCCAAGCCATCCACAGAGCTCAAGCCTCTAACAGCAGGTCGAGGCTGTTTGCAGCTCTTGCCACACTAAGTTAGGTTACACAAAGTAGTGGGGAAGTCCGCTGCTGTGTAACCTAACTTAGCTGTCAAAAGCCAGATTCAGCGTCGCCTGTAATTAATAAGGCAGCGCTCCGTCCATGATGGGGAGTTACCCTGCTGTGTAACCTGCTAGAAGCCGATCTGAATGGAGAAAAAGCTGTCAGCTTTTTCCTCCATAGTACTAGGTGAGGCACTGCCTCCACTGCCTCTCCTGACCACACATCCCTGCAGTACAGCAGTAAACCTGTCTTAAAGCTGAAGCGTAGTGTATGCATATAATAATGCCCCTCTCACATTAATCTGTACACCCCCCTTTTGATCAACATGCAATTCAATTTTTTAATCAAATAATTTGCTTTTTAAGCAAATATCTGTTTTAACACCCAATGGTGTCATCTCTGGGTATTTCTGCTGCCCAGTGCACATAGGAGTGGACCTGAGAGAGAACTGTCTCTTTCTGTGTCCGCTCCTTTGCTCAGTGGGCGGGTGCAATAGCCAGCCTGCTATTGGCTATTGCAATTTGAAATAGCCAATAGCAGTCTGGCTATTGCTCCCGGCTGTTTACATTCACCTGCCTGCTGGGGAAGCTAGCTAGTTACTATTAACTCTCAAGCAACCAGAAACTACAGTTCTTTGGGTTCTTTCAATGTTCTTTGCTTGATTCATGCTTTGTGTGAACGTTCACAGAGATTCAAATATACAGTACATAGGCTATAAATTGACCCCCAAGCATTGTTTTGTGAACTAAGGATCGTGTTATCACTCAAGCTGAAAAATTCTTACTATTTGTTTCAAGGTTGTTTAAAAACTGTACCTCACTGCAACTACCAACTACTGCAACTACCACCATTGTTTCCTAAACTAAACCAGAAGTATACATTATTTTAAATATTTAGTGTCCCCTGTGGGTTATTCTACTACTCAATATCTTTCTTTAGTACTTGTACCCCAGGTAATTCTTCCCATTGGGTTTTGAGGGAGCTTCTGCTTTTTATAGTGAATTTATTTTACTTAGGAAAGTACCGTAATATAAAATGTAATAAGTGTTTTGACATATTAAAACATTATATGGGGTATTTGGCAAACATTTAAATCCTATCTCCAGAAAAAAAACTACCCTCGCAGTATGGCTGCCTCTGCACTGCAAGGGATAACTGCCCATTTGTGTGTAGGGGAATTCCGTAAAGCACTTTTACTTGCCTAATCCCCACTCCAAGAGATGTGGGGAGATGGGATGAGGGGCTTACTGCCAAAACAGGGAGAATCAGGTAAGTAAAAAAAGTTCTACACAGGTCCTCTAAAAATAGAGGAGCAGTTAACCCTTTCAGTGCAGGGTTGGCAAGGGTTTTTTACCCCAGAGATAGGCTTTAAACGTAACTAAAATCTCACTATTCTTCATATGCTTGTATCCTGACAGATTGTTGCTTGCAAATGCTTTAAAATACTCTTTCTCTAAGTGAAAATGTCCCTTCCTGCTTTTCTCTCAAGTGTTTTCTTCTGGCATAGCAGAGTAACAGCCACACCCCTCTGGACAAATGTCCTTACACAGACTTGTACTGTGGCGAAGGGGAGGGGGCGTGTCAGACCAGAAAGAGGGAATGTCAGACCAGTTCTGTTACTGTGTGCTTAATACTGAGTGCAGTGGATCTAATGTTGGTGCCTATTGGACTGTTATATTTAGACTCCCTGCTCAACTACTGCAAGTGAAAGTATGACTATAAAAATAGAGGATGCTAGCACATTATCTATTTATCTGCATATCCAGTTCTATAAATTCAGTTTGGCTTTAAGGACAGTTATGTGATATTGATAGTAAGTAGTCTCATGTTAAAGGGTACTAGAGATTAGAAGATCCTTACTAGAGCTAACACTATTTTTTTTAAAGTGCTACATACATAAATAAGGTTGAGAAAAATTGCTCTAAAGTAATCAGTAGGAGCTCAGCACCTCCCTGCTACAATCCTGGCTGTTTATCTCTTGGACAGAAATGGTTGACCCTCTGACTAAGAACCTCTGGATTTAGAAGTATGCTCTCTGGGGTATCAAAACAAGGATGGGGTATATGCACCCTAGCCATCCCAGCGGCAGCTGGTCCTTTTTTTTCCTACATTGAATCCTTTTAATTACTATATACAGTATTGGACTTTATCCTTAAGCAATTAGATCCTTGAAATCACAGATTTATTGTGTCATTAGTGAATAGTGAAGATTACTTCAGCTTACTTCTCTGGGAGCCTGAACGTCAATGAATTCTTGGAAGATACGACGAGCCTTTGCTGGCAGTTTGTTCACGGAGCGGGTTTTCCTGTATTCTTCGCAGGCCATCCAGAACTCCAGATTCTCCTCACTGAATTCTGTCTGCAGGAAGGTACGGAATGCAGAGCGGCCATCTAAGGTAAAAAGACTTAGGTCAAACTCCGCACTACTTCATTTCATTCAACAGCTATAACATAAACAGTCCCTAACATCATTAATAATACAACCCCAGTTCCAGAAAAATTGGGAAACTGTGTAAAATCTACATGAAAACAAAATGCAATGATTTGCAAACCTCATAAACCCATATTTTATTCACAATAGAAAATAGAAAACATATCAAATATTTAAATTGGGAAAATGTACAATTTTAAGAAAAAAAATAAGGTAAATTTTAAATTGTTGGGGGCAGGGGTTCACCAATCTGTAAAAAGCTGTATCCAAAAACTGATGAACAATTTCAGAATAATGTTCCTTAATGTAAAATTGCAAAGACTTTAAATATATCATCATCTACAGTACAAGATATCATCAAAAGAGTCAGAGAATCTGGAGAAATCTCTGTGCACAAGGGAAACGCAATATTGGATAATCCTCAGGCGGCACTACATTAAAAACAGGCAGAATTCTGTGATTCTGTGATGGAAATCACTGCATGGGCTCAGGAATACTTCCAAAAATCACTGAAATTGGTCCCTAATTTTGCCATGTGGCACTGTTAAGTGAAATAATTCAGAAAAAAAGTTTGTTGTTTGATAGGGCTGTGTTTATAAACAAGGGCATGCCACATCCTGATGCTGTGTGTCATGTCTTTGTTGATGTATGAAAACATGCAATTGACATTTGGCTGGAGCTGCCCATCAAAAGTAGCTCATTCAACATACAAATTTATGCAGCAAAGTCTTAAACAGATTCCAGGTATGTTTATGTACTTTGGTATACTCACATTTATGAGACAGGAGTAGATCAAATGATCGGGCCCATCGTCTAGCTTCCTCTACGGTCAGTCGTCTGTGGGAGCGAAAGATATACATAATCCTTGTTTTGCTGGTTCTAGAACACAGGGAACATTAATAAGGCTGAACTGTCTATTGGACACAAGAACAGAAGTAGAATAATAATTTCACACTCGGGAGTGGGTTGAGGTCAGTTTCCCTTGGCCCAGGTCCATAATGTGTACCGAATCTATATAACATCCCATCTGTGCATCAGTCTCAGATCTAGGCTTCCCAGGGATCACGGGCCTTGTTTAGTTTCCAGTTATACCTAGCCATTCTCATATGAAGAGGTTGGTTTTTATGAAGGATATTTTCTACTTGCTCCAGTTTCAGACCCAACTTAATACCCCTCAAGTAGGGCACTGTGAGGTCTGAACCCAGTTCTGAGATCAGCTGTCCTGAGACATTATTAGGAAATATGCTTCCAGATACAAATTGCATTCTTTATGTATCTATGGGAGCACCTCCTCTGACAACCAGTCTGTGTTTGCACAGCTAATTTCAGAGTCAGACTTAAACTTTAACTAGAAGACATTTTGTTTTTAATCACACTGAGGGGAATTCATGAAAACTGGAGCAGACAAAATCTAGAGCAGCTGTGCACAGCAACCAATCAGCTTCTTCCTCATTTTCAAATCTTAACTGAGCAAACTGAAGAGAGAAGCCGATTGGTTGCCCTGGGCAACTGCTCCAGATTTTGTCTGCTCCAGTGTTCATAAATTCCCTCCACTGTTTATCAAAAACAACCGTTGTTAGTTTATGGGCAGCCGGATCTAAATGGACGGGCATCCATTTACATCCGGATACGCCCGACTCCAGCCAGGTCCAGAAAACCAAACAGATCAGAGACACATTTCGCCAGACTGATCATGTCGGATTAGGGGGAACCGGAATGTAAACGGACGCCTGTCTGTTTAGATATGGCTTCCCATAGACTAACATAGGTTCGCTAATGTCAGTTTTTTCCCCATTCGCAAGATGGAGGAAAAAAATTGCACAGACATGGATGTCACAACGGTGAAATCTGTTCCAAACAGGAGGGGTTCCCCTCCTTATCGGACCGTGCGAAAGGGGCCTTACTTTTTGTCTATGCTCCCTCACTCCAGCATCAGCTGCACATCATTGCTCAGGACCAGCTCCATGATGATGACAATGATAGACCATGTGTGTTTAATGAGTGTTGGGAAGGCTTCCCCGGGGGTGCAGGAGCACAACTGGGAGACATTTGTCACACAATAACAGGAAGTACCTGAACAAAGATCTTTAAGGCAAGATCACCATGTATTTTATTTTAGCAAAGGTTGAATACTACTTTTGGAATTACACGTACCGGTAAATGCTTATGTGATTTTTTGTGGTTGAGTTTAGATTTACTTTAATAAACCAAATATGAGCAAGGGAAAAGGGATTATAAAGCAAAACATACATATTTATGGGCCTGCTGGTCCTACTCTAATCTCAACCCTCATCTCCATCTCTAATATCAACCCTCATCTCCATCTCTGATATCAACCCTCATCTCCATCTCTAACCTCAACCCTCATCTCCATCTCTAACCTCAACCCTCATCTCCATCTCTAACCTCAACCCTCATCTCCATCGCTAATGATTTCCACTAGCTGCCGATGTATGTCTACTGCCTATAGAGAGAAATGGTATGTGACATGAGGGGTTGAGATTAAAGGCCGGCTTCGCTATCTCTATGCTATTTGAAAGGTAAGATGGTGGTGCCCAATGGGTAATAACTGGAGCAAAGCTTTCGTTTGCTGAATATGCCCTGGCAACAATTTTTCATTAGAATGATCGTTTGGCAGTCAGATCTTCCATGATCCATTGACCAGAACCCTCAATGTCTGTAGATAACCTGATATCCTGACAGGGCAAACCACAGGTTTACTTTAATTCAAGCTGTTTATACTTTCCTTACCTCCCCTGCCGCTCTGTTGAATTAAAGTAACATATGTATGGGATAAGGGGGAGTAAGGAGCAAGTAACTGACTCCCTTTCCTACCATGTAATAGAGCTGGTACAGGTCAATGGCTGCTAAGGCACACAGCGCAGGCACATGGGAGCAGGGAAAGGGACTTGGAGGTTACTCATGGCTTCGTCTCTTTGCTCCCAATGTGGCATAGAGAGGTGTGAATTGTAAATATAAGCATCTGTGGTGGCCAGTGGTAATGAGAAACTATCACTTTCAACAGGTTCACTTTGAAGTGTAGTCTTTGTGACTTTTCTACAAAAATTGATCTAATGTTCTTATAGCAATATTCTTGCTCCTTTGTAGTGTTGGTTGTTGCTTGCTGCATATGCAGTGAAAACAACACTGCATTGTACAGTATTGTGTGTGGCCCACACACAATACTGTATTATGAGTCATCCACTGACAGATGTGTCTGTGAAACTACAGTATTAGCACATTAAGATGAAGGTTAAATGATGTGAAAAGCTTAATGATCTGCACTATCCCAGGAGTAATGCAATACACTTTCATGGCATATAATTAATAAAAAACAGATTACTGCAGAAATGTAATTTGTGAGTTTTGGGAATCACTTAAAACATTTATATGCATAAACAATGTAATAAAAGTATTATTATTTTAAATAGATTAGTGTAATATATGAAAATGTCACTAAGGCTTAGTCTCCACGGTGCCGGATGCAGAAACAAAGCATTCAGCGCTGTGTTCGGCCCACCAGCACTCAACCTTGGCTTGGAACACTATCCCTGCCCAGTGGAGGAATCAAGATGTCAATGACGTGGTGCAAATCGAACATGGCAATGGAAATGATCCTAAAGTTAGATATATGTTTATATGCTAAGTGAATGCATGCTAGGTTATATGTAAGTGTAACCCTTCCAGGTATGCTGCTTAATGATGCTTAATATATACATCAAGCCTGCAGATGTTAAAAAGAATGAAATAATATTACTCAATTTCTTAGCTGCTCCTCTCTATTTTGCAAAATTCACTATTTATTAATGATCCATAATCATGTATTTAATTGCAAGAATTAAAATATTGGCCTAGTATGAGATAGTATGCTTGAGAATTGGTGAATCACACATTGCAAATTCACAAATGCAAAGATTGTATTCCTCTATATTACTGCCATATGCAAAGTGTACGCCCCATTTCATACCCAACTGATGCATCTTAATTTCTGCTTACACTCCTCTAGTTTCTGATCATTTTCAGTCATTTTAATGAAGAATACACAAAGCAGCCAAATAGCCATCATGTTTATTGTACTGATAACTCTGAACTAATAAAAAGTGAAATCCTATTGCATAACATTGCTTTTAGCTCATATGTCAAATTTTGTATAACGTGGCCCCCATCTGCATCTTGTTGAATCTCTAGTGAATGAGCATAAGGCAGCCAGTCTTGAATCAGGGCCTCGGTGTAGCTCCAGGGACCATGGGCTCAGTCACATTCAATGCATTTGCTATACTGCTGGAGTGTATCAAGCTTAAACTGAACAATGTCTGTTACCCAGTAAGTAGACTCTGAAAAGACAAAAGGACTTTCCTAAAGAAAGCCTGTACTGAGAGAAATATGAAGGCTGACCTATGTCAGAAAATGCTCGTTACTTGGCTCTCTCTCTGTTATGTTCTGATTAACTGACCTAGAAAGAACAAGCATGAAGATCAGGAAAATAAGAGAATAGTAAGTGTTCATAACCAATGGACCAGAATAACATCCAGTTAGCTAGTATTTTTATGAGAGGGGTGGGGGGACAGCAGGGCAGCCATCAGGGGGGTACGGCTGATACTCATGTAAGGGGCCCGGGCAGCCTGGGGGGCCCACCCGGGTCCCTTACATGACTATTGGCGGACGGTGAAGGGCAAGGAGGCAGAGACATGGCCCTAGCAGCGCAGGGCCCCAGCATTGCCGCTCCAGCGGCTTTGAGACAAGCTAAGGCCCCATCAGCGACGCTGCTCGTCTGATGTCGGACTGGCCGGAAGTGACGTCACTTCTGGCCGGTCCGGCAGCAGACGAGGCCATGTGTTCAGGTATGAGGAGCTAGGAAGGAGGGAGGGGGGGTATGCAGCCCTGACCAGCCCACCTGAGACCCCTTCAGAGCCCACCATAGACAGTCTCAGATGGGCTGTGCAGCATCTATGGTGGGCTCTGCAGGTTCACTCTCAGGTGGGTCCTGTGTCCAGCGCGTCCCTAAGCCCTGCGTCCAGCGGGTCACTAAGCCCTTTGTCTAGCGGAGAGGGGGGGACCCAGTCTAAAGCCGTGTAAGGGGCCCCAAAATTTCTGATGGCTGCGCTGGGGGACAGTAATAGCAGCCTTCTTACTTTCTCACAGCAGGTTTTCTTTAAATACCTTAGTCACAAGGCATCCTATGCAGGAGCCTTGGGCAAATGGGCCTAGCTATAACCTTAATGCTACTGCAGTAAGCAAGGGGATAGTACAATTTTCTCAAAGCTGTGCACCTGTCACTTTACAAGGAAGGATGCACTTGTAGGCAGTTGATGTCTGATGGGATGAGCTATTACAGACAATTCAAATTGTGCAGCTTCTCTGCTCCTATTTCAATCCTTACCAATGTCAATCTAAGTGATGTGGGATGGGGGAAGCTGCTTTGCCTAGGTTCGTCTAAGATCGGGTGTGTTCGCCGGAATGCTCGGCTGATGTCTCGGTCGTTGGGTTCGGCTAATGGTTCGGCTGCTTTCGCGGGCTATACGGGCTTTTGTGAATAGCCCGTACAGCACCCCCTCGGTTCTCCTGAACCGAAGGGGTCCTGGTGCTGAAGCTAGCCGAAGGATCGGCCGAAGCTACGGCCAGATCCTTCGGCAGCTTTGTGAATAGACCCTAAAATGTGTATGGTTCTTTAAAGTATATATGAAGCATAAACTTTCTTTCATTTTGGATAGAGTTGGGGATGATTAAAGTCGCTGTCAATTTTTTTTTTTTTTTTTTTATTGCCATCTGTGTCTCATGTCCTATTTCCCTTCACTTTCTGTCCTGTAGACTCAACAGGAAGCTCGAGGATATGTTTCCAATGTGAGGGACATTCCTTCTTAGATAGTAGTCGTCGGTACAAGTGTCCACCATTGGAAGATTTCCCCTTTATTCATGTTTTGGTGGCAACTCAGAATTTTGGATTTACCCTCATTTTAATTCCCAGTGATCAGGACAATTAGAGAGGGTGGCTCTCCCTAACGGGTACAAAGACAGCAATACAGACATGACAGTGGTTCTATCATCTAACCACTCTAACCAAACCATAAAAAAAAGTTGTGCCTTCAGTTATACTTTAGGCTTTAGTAATACTAGAACCTGACATATTTTCAACACAACCTGAAACCAGGGCTGGGGTTACATGTTAACCAGATCTGAGGGGATCTGATTCACCTATGACCCATAAGAAGATTTGCTGCTTTTTTACAACCCATCAGCTGAGAAGATTCGCCCAGGCATCTTCCCAAATGTATCACATTTGTTACTGTCTGCCCGGCATCTAGATACTCCATTGTTCAGTGGGGACATTTAAGTCTAAGGCCCCTTTCACCTTCCATTCCGATCAGCAGGGGATCCATGCATGGACACATGTCCCCCGATTACCCCCAATCCATCATGATCAGGTATGCCAAAATTTAACTCTGTTCCATTTGATTTTCCAGACCTGGCCAGAGTCGGGGGTAATCGGATGAAAATGGAGGCGTGTCCATTTAGATCGGGCTGCTCATAGACTAACACTGGGCTTGTGATCAGATCTGCCTGAAAAACTGCCAGGCGGACCTGAAAGGACCACTCGTGTGAAAGGGCTCTTAGAATCATTTAGTATATTAATAAACAGCCAAAACACAGTCACTGGCACAGTTCACTTTAATACAGTTAAAAAATGTGAATCACTGATTTTACAAATAATTTGGCACTGATTCCTATGAAGACTGTCTGCACTCAATCCCTCCCTGACAACAATGTCCACATCCATCATTAATTTTACGCACGGGAAATGAGGATTTGTGGCGAAAAGCATGTCCTGACCCCATGACTTCCCTACTCAACAGAACAAGAGCTGGTTGCAGGTCTTCACCCGCAGTCAAATTATGAGAATAACTGATACCTCTGGAAAACCAACATGCTTGATTCCACTCCTTTTGTAGAGCACAAAAATAGTATGTATGCATACTGTATATCAAAGAGGTTGCAACTTACTTAAGAGCCTGATTGGGCTTAGTGTCATACTGTAGAGTGGAGAAGTCACTTAGAGAATCTGATTTCTGTGATAGACAACTCAGGTGAGTGCGGATTCCTCGGCTCCTGCTGGGAATGACAAGACGATAGTCAAAAAGTCAGTGCAAACACACACTGATGCAGATAATAGACCTGAACACCACTTTGTTTATGGACAATACTGTAGATAGATCAGTAAATGTTGAATCAAATCAAATGTTTATACAGTAATGACAACACAATGACAATAACAATGATAAATGTGCGGTTTCGTACAACATGCTGTTTACTAATTACAAACTAGAGTAAAGTAAACCTGGCAGAAAGAATTGCCAACCCTCCATCACCATTCTGTACTAGGCACACCCTGGTCTCCAACAGCTCCCACCACTGCCACCCCTACAAAGGTTCCAGCAATTGACAATACCTAACTGAAAACGTTTATGAACTTTGAAGAGATTAGTGGTAGATTTACTCAGAAGAATCTGGGAGATTATTGGGAGATTAGTTGGCTTCCATTCAAACTTGGCTCAGTGTTGTGTGTATTGCCAGGGTCCTCTATAAGTTTCTACATGACTCATCCAGTGGGTGAATGTGGCACACAAGTCTTTTTCCTTTTTCATAATTGAAAAGGAAATATTTGGTATTTCCTAGCATAAATATATTCCAACAATCTGAAAAACCCCATGTTATCAAATCAATGGGTTGCGTTAACGCAGCAAGCAGCATATTGCAGGTAAACGCAAGGATAGGGGAAGGATGTGTGGCCATCAGGTTCCTTCCTGCACTGGAGGCCTCTCTTTGGGAGAGCCCCTGACCTTGTACTCGATGGTCAACTTCGGCTGACCTAAAGGAAAAGGTCAACCTGGCTTCGGCTAGATGGACAAGAGCGCTCTGCTCCTGTCTGGAGCCTTGCGCCCAAGGGGGTCATGGATGGAGCCCTATCTCTTTGGGAGATGGACCATGAGACACACCCTAGTGCTATTTTATATGGGTATTCTCATACACTTTTTTTGTTCTCTGTGGTGTTTAATTGTATGTACATCCACTGAGGGCTTCAAAAGAGAAATAAAAAGCAACTACAAGAGAGCTTTGCAAGAGCTTACAATCTACACTACTTCTCATTTAAACTAATTATTTTTTATTATAAACACATTTGTTTACTTTTGCGTAGTTCAGGGCAACATTTGACAGAGCATATCTAAACCCACTAAACCCAACAAAAATATAGTATATGGCAGCAGTGGCTGCATTATTTTTCTGTTTTTAGGAATGTTTCTCTTTACACTCTTTAAATAGTAGTAATGGATTTTTATATACAGATTTATACATGAAATGTCATATATATAGACAGCTGTGAGTGAAATTGGTTTGGGGGAGGGGATTTGGGTTCAAAAGAGGGACTGTCTCTCCAAAAAAAGAAGGAGGGTTTGGTACTATGAACCCTTATAATTTTTAGCTTATCACCTGACAAAGACCTCAAGAAGTCCTAATTGTCATTCATGTATATCCACTGGATGCTTGTTTGTTCATAGAATGGCCATGTCTACTTAGTGTGAATTAAACACGTGTACATGAAATGAGAGGATAGGAAAGAAAAAAGAAGCAGACAGAGATTACAGGCCCTTACTATTTACTGCTATTGACTACTAGACTGATTAGACACGGCGCTCCTGAGAGGATAAACCATTACACGTCACCAATGCATGTTTAATGAGTCAGTGTTGTGTCTCCATGGGGAGGCAAATTCCAAATTCCACAACTTCAATATTTCCAGAAAGGAACTCATTGATTCATAAAGGAAAATACAGAAATGGAAATTAATGATTATATATACATGAATAAGAGTTTCAAAGAGAAATGGGATCACTTATATTATTGTTAACTGGAATATATATTTTATTGCAATAAAATATTTTTTTTATCATTGGTAATCTAAGGGATTTTTATATATAAACATTTATTTTGCCTAAATCAACAGGTACACTTGCCAGCCACGAGAAGAAAACAAATCTTTCATGGAGACAAAGGTATATAACAGGAGATCATATTTAGGAGGGGGCTAATGAAGAAATATTATATTCAGATGCTATTGGGTGACATTCTGACCTTGCAAGAACAGAAAGTGATATCAAGTATTATCTGGAAATATTCCATGTAATTGTTGATTATTCTGCTCTATGTGGAACTTGAATGACATACACCATCCGGTGGATTATCAATAGGTGCCTAAGCCTGGGAATAAAGAACACTAAGCATGATTTGCTGTGACCTGCAGTAGATACAAACAGTTGCAAATTTGTGTGATTGCTTCCAACTATCACTGGTCCCTGGAAGCAATAAACGTGTAACTGACCTCAAGAAGTGAATATTTACAGTGTTATAGCGACAAATATAAAAAGGATAATTGCATATAAATAGTGCACTGAAAAAAAATTACATTTTGTCTGGAATTCCTACTAAAAAATATCAGTGCGCTTTTGGTATATGAGTGTGCCCAGGCACTCCTGTGCCTACCGCCCCATAGCTGTATATCTGCAGTGTGAGATCTAAGACACTGCTATCTCTGACTGCTGGTCTTATGAGATTAGATGATGTCACTATTTTGCTGTTCACTGTTGTACTTGCTGGAGTCTGTGACATGGGGTAGCAAAGTCCTGCCTCTACCAAGATGCCCTCCTTCAAACAGCAACACAGATCAGAGCAAGGCATGGTAAGTTAGTAATGGGAAAATATCAGCTGCAGTGAGACTACAGCCAATAATGGTGACTAGACCTTTGCCCCCTGCCTGCCTTTTTTTTGGCACAGCTAACAGAATTCAGTTCCGCTTGAAGAAATCAGATTAATGTTTACATGTTCCAAGGTTTTGATTCAGTTATGGACAACTGCCCAAATATTATGAATGGCTGAACATTTTCACCGACATTCCCATAACAGCATTAGGCTTCTCTTGCATTTTTATAATGATAATTATACACACAGACACAGTTGGGAGATTGTAGAGTGCTGTATTACATACAGAAATCTACCCATTGTGTGGGAGGTAATGTACAAATACATAATCATGTCCAAATTAAATAAACATGTGATGGGGACAGTGCGATTAGATGACAGTCAAATGCAGAAAAAAATGTTTTGCCATTAATATTTTGTTAATTGAGTTTACAGATAACTTTGACCCCTCTAACACAGAAGTTAAAACAAAACAAAAGCCTGGACCCAGTTTTACAACCTTGGTACGTGGCGTGCTAGGAAAACTGTACATACAGTAATTGTGCAACTACAGTAAACTCCCCGTTATCCATGGGGGATTGGTAGATTCTGGATAAATTGAGTTTCTGGTTGTTTGAGAGTTACTATTAAAAATAGGTCTAACTAATGCCATACCCAGGGCTTGAAAAATTTTAGGGTGTCTCACCAGTCAGTCAAAAATTTCACCAGTCAGCATGACCGGACTATTGGCCTTGCAATTTATGTTAACATTTTTTGGGGACAGATAGAGCTTTCTTTTGGAGTTATATAATCACCTCGGGGGTTATTTTTTTTACTATATAATGAAAAAAGTACCGTAAATGTAAAAGAAAAAAAAGTTTCCCTACACTATGTTATAAAACATTTATTATTACCCATATTTTTGGTAAAACATAAAAGTCAGGGTCACGTCGGGTAAATAGACACCAAACATGTCAAGCCTTAAAATTGCGTGCACCCGCAAAAATCGCAAAAAATGCCCATAGGCGATGATTAAAGCGCTTTTACTGCTCATCAGTTTAGTGTTATCGGTGATTGATGGCCCTAAAATTATTGCTCTCACTCCGACATTTGCGGCGATATGTAACATGTGCGGCACTATAGGCGCAATTGGCGTTTTCACACGTAGGCGCACCCGACGCATATCTGAGTGTGTATGTGGTGGACTGGGACTTAAACAAATTGTTTTCTTTTTAAAAAAATTTGTATGCTTTATTTTTTTTAGGATTCTTTAATTTTTGTATTACTTTTTTTTTTTGACACACAACTTTATTGCTATTACATCGGGGGCTAAGAAGCTCTGCTGGTGGAACAGTGTGAAGGACTCTGATGGTGGATCAGTTTGAGGACTCTGATGGTGGATCAGTTTGAGGACTCTGATGGTGGATCAGTTTGAGGGAATCTGATGGCGGATCAGTTTGAGGAACTCTGATGGTGGATGAGTTACAGGGGCTCTGATGGTGGAACAGTTCAAGGGGCTCTGATGGTGGATGAGTTTGAGGGGCTCTGATGGTGGATGAGTTTGAGGGGCTCTGATGGTGGATGAGTTTGTGGGGCTCTGATGGTGAATTATTTTGAGGGGCTCTGATGGTGGATGAGTTACAGGGGCTCTGATGGTGGATGAGTTACAGGGGCTCTGATGGTGGATCAGTTCAAGGGGCTCTGATGGTGAATTATTTTTAGGGGCTCTGATGGTGGATGAGTTTGAGGGGCTCTGAAGGTGGATTAGTTTGAGGGGCTCTGATGGTGGATGAGTTTGAGGGACTCTGATGGTGAATGATTTTTAGGGGCTCTGATGGTGAATGAGTTTGAGGGGCTCTGATGGTGAATGATTTTTGGGGGCTCTGATGGTGAATGAGTTTGAGGGGCTCTGATGGTGGATCATTTTTAGGGGCTCTGACGGTGGATTAGTTTGAGGGGCTCTGATGGTGGATTAGTTTGAGGGATTCTACAAGTTAATCAGGGAAAGTTACAGCAAACATGTGTATTCCTGCTTCACATTGAATCTTTACCTTTTAATTACCAACAGGTTTGAGGCAGGATTAAGTAAATATACAGCTAAGAAAGAAAACCCCTTTAATCAATTCTAATCACCCACATTGGTGGAGGCAGCATACGCTGACAATGTTTTTGTTCTTATGATGCAGTTTTCATTGTCATGTATCATGGCTGAACCCACAGAACTGCTGAGTGTATTGTGTGTAGGCAGAAGGTGACAAAGTAAATGTTCCATGTGCCTACTTCTCAAACTGGCTGTGTTTTGTCTATGCTCCAAATTAATCGTAATGGAAAAGGGCATTTCCTAGTTCTGCATAGAGTGAGCCTGACCTTGATTATCT